AGCGGTCTGTTGACCCATTTTCAGAGGGGCTGACTTCAAAGGGGGGCAGGGGGAGAACTGCGATAATGAAATCAAAATGCCCCAGGGATTTCATTTGGCTTTTCTTTATGTGCAGATATATTCCGCTGCGCAAATATGGAATAACTGCCGTAGTTGGCTGTGCCCTCCACAGGATGAGTATGACAGGGCTGGTGAACGTACCATGTACATGTATGTATCTGTAACGGATTTGGAATCGGAACGGTGGAGTGTAGGAACATACACAACTGCTATTTGAGGAAACATGCCAAAAGACAGCCAAATGTAGGATGTCAGGTCTAACCCCCTTGATGTAAAACACTTCATTCTATCCACAATATTAATGCTGATATTCGACAACCAGAATTCCACAGCTTTCATGTTCAGTAATTATCACCAAAAGTGCACTTAACTTGTGCAAAGTACATGTACAGTGTACATGTACATACACACTCCAGGAGTCTGATTAGACCTGAATCAGACCAACGCGACTCGGAAACATGGAACTGGATCACTGACGAGTACCAGGTCAACGAGAAGTGGTACATGCTAAGCATGTGTACCAGTGTGTACATGTACAGTAACAAGCATCCCCTCCCCCCAGGTATCCAAGGTTCCATACAGAGGTTTACTAGCTCTGTCCTGAGCCAGATTTCTAAACAGAAATGCAGGAGTTCATCTTACCCAGAGGGGGTAACTGGGGTTCATGCACTTTGACACTGATGTACTACACCAAAGAGGTTGCCAAATCCCCCGCATGTCAACATCAGCTTCAGGTTTCAGTTTTTGTGAATGTAGTCCTATAAGCCAAGATGCGGGAAAGCTCAATGCCACAGCTCCCTGATCTGTTCCAGGCATGATTATCAGTGTCTGCTTATCCAATAATGTGAGGAACTGTAAGAACTTCCGTTTGCTTCTTGGGGTAAATATTCAAGATGGTAAAGTTATGGACCTTGATAATAAGCCAGAAAGAGACAAAACCAAGACTTGGGAAAAGGCCACCGCTTTTGTGGGTAGGATGCACAGCGCCATCTAGGCATCCACACTGGTTGCACAGAGATCATTTAACATTAACTGGTACTTTGTGTATCCTGGTCCCATCATAAGACTTTAGCACACTTTTGTATGATGTTAAGGTATATGTACAAAAGGAGTCATGTGGTCAGGTTCAATGTTTAAGCTTCTTCCTGGTATTGTAGAAAACCACAATGCATTTTTTGGTTTTAGATTTTTTTAAACTCTATTTTGACACATTGACATATAACAGAAAACCGATAGGAAACAACTGTGAAAGGTTACTGTACCTATGCAGCCCTATCGGCTTAAATCTGATGGTATTTTTTCAACAATCTCATGGAATTTCAACAGTCTCACGGAATTTCAACAATCTCACAGAAAACAAATAACTTTTGCAATTTTTCCCACTCATCATTTTTTACTTGGTAAATTGGAAACTGGATTAGGAAGTCAGATTAATATGGTACACGAAAGGGGACCCATTGGAAACAGCTGAAGATTTGGATCAATAAACATGTATTGGGCACTTTTTTTTATTGAACCGACATCTAATGCAGCATGAAAATGCCTTCCGTGCCGCACAGCTGTGCATCTGTTGCACCAGGTTAGGACTCTGGGGTTGTTTTGAGATAAATCTGCCAGGGCTGGGCATTTCATGCCTGTCCGGTTCAAGCAGGCTCAAACCTGGATTGAGGTTTTATGGGATGGCTAGCTGCCCTTTGGAATAAGCAGTGTTGTCCCCCTCTGAATTCACACTTCGAAAAGCTGCAATTGCCTAAGTCAGGTAATAATCGAATAGAACCTATTTTGAGTTCATTTCATCATGAAACATGACTTACCTGTAAAGGGAAAAAAGGAAGAAAAACACCAGTTGCAGGTGGAACTGAAAGTGCATGGTACCTGACTGAGTGTTAAATGCAGGTGTGGGTTGGGTACGTGGTACATGTATGCCCTATAGGGTCCATGTACAACGCTTGAGGGCGCTGAAAGGGTACGGGGGTGAATACACTTAGCTTGTAGCTCATCTGTTTCCACTCAGGCCTGTGGGGTTTTGCCTGACACATAGACTGGTAACTGATCTTCTAAATTTTAGCTTTCTTTTGTTTGGGCAACTTGGTTATCAAGCACTACGATGGCAGCTTCCCAATTTCTTCATGTAAAAAAAAATCTGTCATTGACTGAGCGATTGCTTTGCTCGGAGGGAATTATGCAATTTTAAGTAATATGGACAGTCCAAATCAAAGATCCCTGAGCCGAAAGCGTAATTGTTTTTTCCCTATAACCCAGCAATGGCGACATTTCACAAAATCTATCCCTTGAGGAGAAACGGAGAAAACCCCCAGGAAAGTTAAAAATGGACAGAGAAACTGCACTTACACTTACTATCCTAATTAAAGTGATCGATGAAGACCCATTCCTCTTGTCTACCGGTATGTTCCTGGGCCAATCTATTTTGCCTCCCTGAACTCATTCCCTCCCAATGCCTGGCACTGCTGCTGCTGACAGGCTCTGTCTCTCTTGAAACTGTGTCATCCCCTTGTCCACTGTCCAATGACCCAGAAAAACAAGTTGGGCAGTGCTCAGCAACCTCATGGGGTGGATCCTGCGAGTCATCCTTGGGGGAAGGGGAGAGGGACAGGGAGCAGGCCAGGGAAGGCGATGACTAAAAGTCGTTGAACTCAACCAGGTCTCGTGAATTACACAGAAAGTGAAAGTGCGAGTCAGGAAAGAAGAGGAACTTTGACAACCAGCAATTTCTTTTTCCTGGAGTGTTTGTCTTTGATCTTTGGTACAGGTTTTGTATAAATATTGATACAAGGGAAAAACTGCGGGCAGAATTCGCTGAGGGAAAAAAAAAAGAAACTCGGCAGGCCCCAAGAAGCTTGTTTTGCTTCAATTTGCAACTTGTTGAGCGAATGAAACACAAATACATGAAGCCCCAGCACGCATATGAATATATTCAGTCAATTTCCCAGAGTCTGCATCTGGAGCAAGCAGTGTGCGGCATTATTTTTATGGAATTATTGTGCTGAGGCAGACACCTTCCCTGCAGTCAGTAGAGGCGCTGAAGGTTCACCATGGATTTCTCCCTGGTGATCCCAAGGGTCGAAAAGCCCATCAAATTCTGGAAATTGGTTCGAGGAAATCTGATCCAGGCTTCTAGTCTGAAACCTGTGGACATCCCCCCTTCCCCATTACCATAATGGTGAGCAGTTTGACAAACAAACTAAGGCCACAGAATAAGTATTTCTTTTCCATCTTGGGGGAGGGTGGATGGAGGTGAAGACAGTCGCCAATATGTTTTCAAAACAAAACAAAACAAAACAAAACAAGGCCTCGTTCATGTAATACAATTTCTTAAAAATTCTGGGCTGTCAAAAGTTTGATAAGAAGTATATTCCTGATTTCCTTTCCCATTTTTTGCAAGCTTTTTATAAAAAAAAAAACCAGTTGGCAGAAATTTGGCTAAAGATACGAGTACAAGCATTTTCAACACCCCCCATTTCTCTTGAAATCATGCCCAATGTGAAAAGGTACTTTTTCTGTTTCTAAAATTATCCTAACCACAGAATACTACAGTTGACTGTGTTGGGATGAAGGTAGATTATGAAAACAAACATTCGCTTCAGTATAACAGAAAAAAGATACCCGTATGCCAAGGCCTACCAGTACTTCTGGAAAGATCGATTTGCACGTTTAATCATTTGCTCCTAAACTACATGTACAATCAAGTCTCGTTCTGAAATAAAATCCAACCCTACATGTACAAGTGTAAATACTGCACATGCACTGTCTGTTGAAGGCCCGGAACAATTTCATTTCTGTTCGGAGTTTTTTTGGGTGAGCAAAACAGAATACTGGTAAAGTACTCTGACCTTTTGGAAAAAATAGAAGCTAAGGTGCCTTTTATCCATCCATGCCACTGACTGGGCAATGTTGCATGACCCATAGTTGAACAGGCTTCCAAAAGCTTTCATGGATTTTTACAAGACGACACAAAAGGACAGAATGAAAACAGGCCTACTTGAAGTACCAGTAGGTCTGGGATCTGTTCACTGCTTGTAACTGGGACAGAATCACAGAAACATTCGACAAAGCCCATGTTGATCTCTAAAACAACCCAACTTCCATCTGCAGACATTTATCACCTGCATGTGACCACTCTGCCAATATTAACAATGTAGAGTAACTTTATCAGCAATGCCTGATGTATGCAAATTACCCCTGAAAGTTAATCCAGTGGAAAGATTCATAATTATGCATGCTTTATAGCAGAGACAAGTGGGAAAAAGCATTCTAGCCTGCACTGAAAGTACACATATCAACACAACACATTGCTGGTACTGCTATGTAGGACATGTACATGTACATGTATGTGGGGCCTACAGTGTTGTAAGCTGCTGCCAACTCGATCCCTTTGAGGGAAACTCTTTAATAATTGTACATGTATATGCCTGTATGTGAGCACGCATGCGCGCGCACAGGTGGAGACAGTGTTGGGATACATTCTCTCACCAAAATGCAGCAAAAAAGACAACTACTAGTATAAGCTTACCCTGAAGAGATGATGACATGCCCCTCATCCCTGCCCCCCAAAAAAATTAAATTGGAAAAAGGGGGAGTGCCTTTTCACATTCCCTGTGCGTCTATTTAATGGAGACATCACTGCGTTCCTGTAATGCCCACATTCTAGCGAACTGTTCAACAATCAATATAAAGAGATTTTAACACGTGAGCACATTACACTCGTGGTTTCAATGAGGTCAGTTCACAGTCATCCGACAACACATTGCAACTGAACTTGGGCATGACTCAGGCAGGATGCTTCCTTTGTTTTATCAAGGGGCATCAGTAATGTGACTGCTACATCGGGCGCATTCCCTTCCGACGAGGCAACTGGTAACAATGAAGGGTATTAATATAGAGCATCAGTGAAATTACATGTAAATGTACCATGCACTTACCAACGTCCCAAACCGATGAATGAACTAATATGCCGGCTTTGACTACAGTTGTCCAGCTGTTGGGTCAAGGTAAATGAAGTGTGTATCTCACTGGAATCCAAATTTGTCCAACTATACAATTTTTATCACAGGATGTTGAATCACAGTCATTTGTACGGTATCAGGTTGTACCTTGTTCTGGCAATTTTCCCCTAAACCAAGAACAGTGCACTACAACAGTCCATGACCCATTCAGCACACAATGAAGTTAATCAGCAAAGAATCATATGCTATAGACACTACATGTACAACCATACAGCAAGGAAACAAAAACTACCATCTCAGCCAGTTTTACACCACAGGTGCGCCTGTCCGCTCACATGGTTGAGTCAGCATCCATTCAACTCGGCTACACTATTGTTGGCACTCAACCTTGGAGCGCCCCCAATCAAGGTCGGCAGCAGGCCCGATTGGGAAGCCCCATACTGATTGAACCAGCCGGCATTCACCAAGTAGCAGCCTTATCGGGAGTTCATTCAGAAGCTAAATAGAGCTGTGCCCTTGAGACAGCTGTAATTGGCCGTGGAGGCTGGCTACACACCAGGCTAGCTGGCAATTTATCACATTCAAGCAGTCCTGGTTTCTACAGTGGTCTATAGCATGAGGTGTCTATGAAAACGCACATAAAAACCATATCAGTGCAAGCAGGAGGCACAGTGTTTGATGAATTGATTTATGAAGTTACAATGTACCAGTACATGTAAGTACACACGTACCTTTCAGGTTTTAAAAACAATGTACATGTCCTCAACTAAGCAAGAATTTCAGTAAAAGGTTTCAGATGATTTCCTGTGCCTGAAGTTGCTGGGCACAAATTGCATTATTCAACGGTACCAGTAGCATCCCCTCAATGTACATATAATGTACATAAAATTTGTAAAACATCACTAATGGCTACCAGTTCATGCCATTTCCATTTCCAATGATCTATCAAGGCTGGTACCCAGTACCTTCGCTAGCTGCTGATCAACAGCTGAAGAATCTTCCACAGGTCTGTGGTTTTACCAATACCATGGCCATCTAGAGTCTGACATCTTATCTCAAATATTTCTGTGTACTACCGGTCCTGTCAAACGATGAAAACTTTGGACGGCTTACATGTACACTGTACATGATAATATGTATTCTGTTTCTTCACCTTTTGCTTGCGAATGCAGCATGCACTGAACCGGTGCGAGTCATCTCATAAACCTGCTACTGCTAACAGTGCAAGTACACCTGCACATGTCATGTGAGCTGAGTTGTAAGACCACCTGACATTGTAATGGACTGGTCCATTAAGCCCCACATACATAGAACCTGCCAAAAGTGGGGGAGGGGGGCAAGTCTTCCACGTTAAAAAAAAAGGGGGGGGGGGAGGTTCACTTCTCACTGGTCCTCCGGCCCCTCTCCCTTCTGCCACCCAGTGCTGGGTTACCACAACAGAATGCAAAGCAGAGTGGGAATTGTGAAATCAGGACAGTATCAGCAAGTTGTGAATGAGATTACCAGGCATGGGGAGGATGATGAACCTTGACCCTTAAATGATAAAAGTGGTTTGGGGAGAATGATTGGATTATAACTCAAGTCACATGTGCACTTAGCGGGTCAATCCTTAAGTATGGCAGAGTTATCTTGGAATTGATGACCCGATTTGTTTCTTTTATACTAATAGGTTTGTCAGTTTGGTGACTGTTGTACAAAATGCCCAAAAGTATGCGCTGCAAAACAGCCCAGAAACAAATCTTTCTCTTCAAACTGTAACAAAAAGAATTGATCCCAATATTAACAACCAACTGTTGATGCTCTGTTGCCAGTAGTTATCGTAATTTCTGTCTCACCCACTGCTCATATCTTGAGTCTCCTTACAGGAAGCATGGCCTACTGACAAAGCCATTAAAATTGTCAATGAATTTGGCCAGAGTTACCCCGCCTGGTTGATGAACGTATTGGAGGGTCGCTCATGCAAAACTAGCCCCTCACTCCCCACCCACCCTTGAATCCTCTGAAGGTTAAATTTTTAATGATTCAATTCTACACATGGATGAGGAAGCATCAAGGTCAAATTCACAAACCTGAGGCAGACATCATACAATTACCATACTTGTAGGCTGTCTGGCTGTTGTTACATGGATACATTAATGTACACGTACATATGTAGTGCTTGTCATCTTGGTAATGGACATGCTAAGTGGGCGATACAAGTGAAACTGTCACTAAACGCTGAGGCAAACAAGTGACACAATGCTTCTCCGGTACTTGTCAAGCCGACATGCTAGTTTTCCGATGTTCCTTCTGGAAATTTTTATCAGATATTTTTATAACAGCATCCGTAGTTTTCTATGGTTCTGATTTCCAATCAAACCTTTATTTTTGGCTTCAACCATGGGGGGGGGAACGTTTTTATGCGGCTGACCCTGTCTGGAATTTCCAACCAAGAAGATTTCTTTTTTTAAAATCTAATAATAATCTTAGGAATTCTTGGGCACAAACAAGTAATTTTACCCACTCTCCCCACCAACCCTCCCTCAAGGTCAAAAATCTATGAGAGCCACGGAATTACATGTAACTACATGAACGTCCTGTACATCAGGACATTCTATCCATAAATTAATGAGTGAGATTTGGCAAAGGAAACATCCAGCAAAGGGATGTATGTACTAGGACTTTCCAGGGCTTTAGATTAATAGCTACATGTACATGTAACAAGGCACCAATTCTTTCAGAAATGACAACAAATATTTGGATCTTAAACACTGCTGCATTACTGTTAAAAAAAAAAAAAATTAAAACACTGGCATATACGGTATCACATAGATTCGGTACAACAATGTCACAGTTACGCCAGACCTGTGAATGTCCTTGGTCAACCTATTTACATTTTACAGGGAACAGGTTGTACCTTTTTTCACATGAAGGTCTTTTCGGCAATGACACATACATGAAAAAAAAAAAAAAAACCAATCACGAAAAAAAAAAAGGGTCTGACCTTTTCTTGTTCCTCACCTTTACTTTACTGAAACTGTTCAGGTCAGTTACATGTACCAGTACATGTACCTTTTTTCTGGACAGCAGGTTGATCAAAATGTGTACCGGTACCGCAGATTTTTAGGAATGTTTAAGCCCCGGTTGTACATGTGCATTAGCTCTTGTGGAACGTTTACGCCGTACACGTACAGTAAACGCCCCTCACATACATGTACATGTAATATGACACATTCTCCCTCTATTTGCCATGTTACGTGCCAACAGCGTGGAAATAACTCCCCACATTCAATAATGTGGAAAATACTGGGTTAATTTATGAGCAGCACGTCCCTGTCCCTGATTCAACACTTGGTATGTGGGCATACACTATGGCAGGGACTACTGTTGTGTCTACAGCCCATAAAAAAAAAGAAAGCAGTCTCCCCCAACCTCATTTTGAGGGGAATTCCATTAAAACAAACCTTGGCACCAGACCATGTGTGAGGGTGTCAGATGTGATAACAATGGCGTGCTCTAACAAGATTGATCAGGTAAAGATACATGTCAAGCCCCTGGGTCTAATCCTTAAAACAAAAGGCCTGCTGGCTAAGAGACAGGTGTAGTCGGGTAACTAGTGGTGTTTACAAAAAATAGAGATTTGTAGTCAGATTTGTGTGGGATGCAGCCAAGCATGTCAACTTCAGCATAATTGGATTCCTTTGGGAATCCAAGTGCTGCCGTTTGATTGATCCTCAACATGTGTTCCCAAAATTGATTGGTTGTTAGAAGAGTATTGATGATATTACCAGGTACTGAATGAGATCAGTGTCTGGAAGTAATGTGACTGGCTATTTGCATTACAGATAAATCATCAGATGTCACCCCACCAAGAAAAAGAAAATAGGACACAAGCAGAAATTTAAAAGTAGGCCTATATGGAAAAACAAATCAGTTAACATGAATGAAAAATCGAAATCCATAGACATACCTGAACTTGAGATGGATTTCACTGACACAGAAGCTTGATGTACCATCACTTGCAAGACATTAAAAGCTTTGACAACCCTGAGGGTGAAATGAAAGAGGGTAAAAATGCTCTTAAAGTGAGAACTGCACTCAAATTTGTCAAGCTTAACACCTGCCGGCTACAGCGCTCCTACAAACTCAGCCACCTTGTCTTGGGTGGATCATTTGCAAATACTTGCTGTCTATGTTGAGGCGAACTTATGAGGGCAAAAAGGTCAACTCCGACTGGGTGATTGTGACATTTTGGGCAGGGCTCAGCAGATCCTCAGGAAATACTGCAAAGGTCACCGACTAAAATGTTTCCTTTTACTCTTTCTCAAACTTTGCATTGCTAAGATTGAATACACTTATGGTACCGGTAGCTTCTTAAAATTGGCAGAAAGATAAGAGACAGGAAAACACTTATGGCTGCCAGTTAATTTTTCAATGAAAAGAAGTTTTTCTTAAATTTTTATCTTATTTAATAACTCATGAGAAACAGACATACCAGTACTGTACATGTACTTGTCTATCTAAATAAAATAGCAACTGGTATGGAGGCTTTGCATAGCAGCCATCTTGCAAATCACTTCTTTTGTTCCACAGGGAAACCTCCTTTGTGCATATCCCATGGGAAAAAAGTACTGGCCTGCAAGATGGCAACTATGCAAATCCTCTATAAAGGTTTGTATTTTCTTTAAAGAGCCTTTCCCATGTTATCAAAGCACTATGAACAAAGCAAAATGAAACCAAAGGTACTTAATGTGTGACATAATGACATCCGGAGTAAACGGTACACATGTGACACTATTTAAAGTTGTTCATTTAACCCTCCTATGCAAAAATGCATTCTCAACACTATATCAGGCAAAATTAGTCAAGTGACATATGATATGTCTATGAACGGTACTGTACACGGGAAGTGGAAGGAATTTTGGACAGCTTTTGACAAAGGAGGGTTAAATAAGTGGACCATCTACACTGAATGTATGCCTACAGGCTTTGCCAGATAGAAAAGTGCCATACAGTACAATGAATTTTTCCAGATTAGCGAATATGCAATGGAAGCTCACACAAGTCACAGCTGTTGTACACATGAACACAGCTGGATTTCGAATTACCAAAAAAAAAGAAAAGAAAAAAGCAAGGACGTTATGCCGACTGGTATGTAAGGGCCGTGCATGCTAAAAACATCTTTTCAATTGGACCGTTCAAAAGGATATTATTGTGCAACCCTGCATAATAATGGTACAGCATCACTCTAACACCAGTATGAAATTTTGCCAACTATGGCTGCTTACAATGCGCTCTGAGCAGAACAAAAGAGGGCGTGTTTTTTTGGTACTCACTGCATAGGCGCGCCATAATGCGCGCAAGTATATACGCGTTTAACGCGGAGCATGCTGAGTACGCATAACAAATTTACTCCGGCATGTGTGGTCTTTGCGTACACGCAGAACGCATGCAAGAACCCGCTTGCAACCACCTGTCTTTCTTTTCACCGATTGGGGGTGCTTCAGCTTGGGGCGGATATATACAATCCATTACATGTAAGAGTTAACTTGTGAATGGGAACATCTTTTCAACCTTTTCTCTTCTAACTTCTAAAGGAATAAATTTTCATTTCACAAAACATGAAGAACTTGTCCCCTAGAGTGGAAAACGATTTTCACAAATTTTACACAAGTGAAAAATTATTTTCATTCTTTGTGAAATGCACATGTAAGTATAAATATGATATTAAATTCTTATTGCAGAATTTCCCATCCCAACTCACAGTGTTAATTTTAAAATGCGATCTACTATACATCAAGATTTACAAATCTAAGATCTGTTCTTGGGATCTTGTTACTTGCGAGAGTCCCCTCTCTTCTCTTTTATGGTTCCACGATCAACCCTTTCACTGCCACCAGGACAGAGTTCAGTGTCACTTTACAGGCTGAAATACAAGTCAGCCTGCCCAAATGACACTGAACTTGTCCTGCAGTCCACTGAAGACCGGGAGAGATCCTGGCAGGTATTAGTTGGATGGATCAAGGATCCCATTATCCTTATCATTGCTACTCTTCATGTCAAGCTGGAGTTCCTGTTAGACTCCAAATAAGGAGCAACAGGCTTTGGGTTTCCCAGCTGCCACGAACCCTTATGATTAAACCATAAAGCTACCGTAGGGTAGAAACAACCTTAAACCAAGTGGCCTTCTAAAAAACCACTTTCGGAACTCCTTCAGCTGAATGGTTCAGGGAACTGTAATGCGACTTGTCGAACTCTGATTTGGGATAGAAAAAGCTAAGGAAAAAATAAAGAGACTAATATACGGTAAGTACAAAGGGAATAAGATAACTGCTTCCTTAGACGGAACTTTCCTTTCATATGCTCAGCAATCCAGACTGTCACTTTGTTTCTTGTGACTTAAATGTTCGTCTCGTACTACTCGGCCAAGCCAACACTAAAAATGAAAAAAGTAATTTCTACATTTGTTGTAATGAGGAGTGACGCCCTCCGAAATTACTGCCCTGATATGCCATCATGTGCCGGCGCCACCGGTCCACAGAAAACTGGGTCTCACATCGTCGGGGCCGAGCAGGGGATGGGGAAACCGCTAATTTCAGACCCAGTTCCGAGGAGATAAGGTTCATTAAAAGAAGCCCGAGAACAGCTGAGCTGGGAATGAATATGCATGCAGATGGCACAGCTTGGTATCTCAACACTAAAATTAAAGATGCCATTTAAAAAAAAAGCCTTGACTGTTATTAAAAACTTGTTGGCCCTGAAATCTGTCTCAATTCACTACAAGGTTGGTCAGTTCAACAGTTAAGAGTCAGACGTAAGCAACTGCTGCAGAGTACAACAAAATGGCTCCATTCTGACTACATCAACACAGACAGCTACCTTATTTTTAAAACAGAAGTGACAACAGCCACAATGATTCCAAAGATACACAACTAGTGGTTTTTTTTAACTGGTTGTTGGCCACAAAGCGTCAAGTAAAGTACATGTACTGTACATTACATTACTATGCTTTGCAATAAAAGTTCCCAATGTACGTGAACTGGGGACAGCTGGAAGCATACTATTTGTACTGGCATCTGTGGAATAACAATCTTCCCCCCCCCAATTCTTGGTACTGTCAGTGCATGGTCAGTGCAAGTGAAGTTGATGACAGAAATGTTGTCAATGTATGTCACGATTTCCAGTTTACGACAGAGTTGGGAGTCATTGGTGTCACCGTGAATACGATTTATAGCTTTGGTGGTACACAGGCCAAGCAATCAGAGGTCATCAGGGGTCACGCTGTCTGGGCTAGGTGGTATCATTTTGGCAAAAAAATATCTCTAAGTATGCGGGCACTGCCCTACCTACCTGTTATCAGGGCGTTGAATGTAAAACAAGAGAGCGCAACTTTTCAACAAGTAGTGTGCAAACAACAAGATTCGGCTTGTGAGGCAACACCTTTGAGAACATGTGAACTGAGCCAAGTCAAGCAAGCCCCAGTCGAGAGACAAGTCTTCTGTTCCTGTAAACGCATCTTAGTACAGTGGTGAAATATACCGGCCTTCTATCCGTTTGATGCTGTCGACAAAGGTTAAAGAAACACATCATCATGCCAAGATGCATACAAATATCCTCTGATGCCATGAAAGAAAGATGCAAGAGAACTCCAAATGGCATCCCCATTCCAAGGTTGTAGTCAATCCCAGTTCACAACAGCCCCTCCCTCCGACCTTGGGCGAGATATTTCCCTTCAAAGTTCTGCCGACATTATTGACGGCCCTGACATTTCAATCCCAGGGTGCCCCCCTGCAATTGTCTGACCCAGAAAATGAGGGCGGCACAGGATGAGTCTGACCATCTGACGTTGATATGGGAGGGGGGGATGGGACAAATCTTCTGTGTCTGCCCGTTTTAACGAACCGGGACAAGCAAGGGCCGCCAAAGAGTCTCCTTCCCGTCCGACTTCTTTCAACGTCTTCAGCTTAATGTTTCAAGACAAGTGGAAGAGTTAGGACGGGGGCCTCCCGCAGACACGTCAAAATGAAGTACACGTATCATGGGTTTGTTTTCTTCAGATCTATTTCCATACGGGGGTTGAAATAGACTGAGTTGATATTAAATGGGATCTTTTCTGTGTGTGTGCGCGAGTTGGGAAATGAGACTTTATAAAACTCAAATGGTCGGTTGGTGATTGAGGCTTGACACATTACCACTGTGCAAAACATTGGGTTCCATGTCGCATAATGGGTTCTCAATCACCAAGGCCATCCCATGCTCACGTTCAAACCGAAGGTGGAGTCCACTGTACTGGAACAATTCAATTTCAGTAACAAATTCATCACCTTTTGACATTCATAGAACTTCAGCCTACAGGTACATACATGTATGTACCTTGGAAAGCATTTCATGTACATGTACACCGTGCATGTGCGTCTTAACACACCTGTACCCTCCAGTTGGTACAAGGCATGCAGGTACCGTTACACGTGCCGTTAGGACGATATAGATTGACACAGCAACATTTTATGCCGTATGGACAAAAATTAAGCGAATGATGAACAAAAGTATTACGGCTTTTTTTTTTTAATCTTTCATATTGCTCTTCCATCAACAGTGGCTGCTTGCGGCAAATGTGCCCACTGCATTCATTTAAGATTTGGTGATTAATTCACTTTCCTTAAATCTGCGAGTGAAATTGGAACAAAGAATCGTCGCAATGCCAAACACTGCCACTCTTTCATCCATCATTTGACAAACAACAAAATTCCTCTTTCCACAGTAACCCCTCCATCTCATGTCCCCGGCCATGTCCTGCCCACAAAAAGCAGGATAATATTCTCCCGACAGTCTGCATGTGGTACGCACTCTTTCTCTCCAGTATCTGCTGATTTGTGGCAAGATATTCCAGATAATAACTCCCCTCCCCCCATCTCCCTCTCCAGCATGAGTCAGTCTCCTCAACGGCACGGGAACCCGAGATGGGGGGCTTAAGCCCACGTATCAACGCCTGTCAAGTTTTTACAATCTCCACCATCACATCTCCTGGCATATTCGAACGCCTAGAT